CCGATCTACGTTCCCCTCTGCCTTACCTACCTTACTCTCCCACGCTGCAGACACACACATTGCAGATTTTAATACAAGTCTTCGTGGCGCCAAAGCAGCCAGTCGAAACCAAGCAAAATTGCATGCCTCGATGACGTCTTTGTACACTTTTTCTCATAACCGCACCGTCTGATTCGGCGCCTCTTCGCCCCGAACCCCCCGAAGAACGTGTCGCACGCGGCTGCAGCAAAACGTGGGGGGAGTGTTTTCGATTAGTTACACACCCTCCCGCTCTCCCGGCTTACACACACACATCTCGCCGAGGTAGGATTGGCTCACTGCCGATAGAACTGCTCCTCTCCCAGACTCCCACAACCATGTCCTGTCCCCGATATGAGTGCTTTCTCCCTTGTTTGGGGTCACGTCGCTGGCTCTGTGCTGGCGATAGCATCGTTTCCCCCTTTTTTTTCTCCTGCATTTTTCTCTCTGCAAGGAGCTAACCGCAAATAAGGTCTTTCTCACATATTCCCCCCGAAACCAAGGTAAACCTCTCATAGCACACACTCCCCGGTTGACTGCCAGCCTCGCCGATGGGTCTCTTGTATGTACCGCTCCCCCTCCTCCTCCTCGGGATGATGCAGGAACAGGCTTTCAGGAGGTATGGCGTTAGCTGACGACATGGACCTCAAGAGCGCTGGGGACGGCCCTCGATTGGCCGGAAGCAAAAAAGCAGGCACACCTCGTGCGAGCCTGGGGCATCAAGGTAAGCTCCGGATCAGCCGGCCGGCACTCAGGAGTCTAGACTAAACCGTGCCAGCAACTGCTCGAGATATGGAACAAGGCCAAGGGCAAGGAGAGGGATGCCTTGCTCTGGGGCGATGAGGTGTGTTTCTCCTGGATCGGGAAAACAATGTTCTGACATGGATAGGTCGAGTACCTGGTCGTGACTTATTCGAAAGACGACCCCAAGGTTCTTCTCTCACTTAGGCAGGCTGATATTCTCACCGCCTTGGCGAATGACACGAACCTTGCGGGCCACGGCGGCTGCGTCGCTGGTCAAGATGACCACCCTTCGACCAAGTAAGTTTATTTTTTATTCAGGGATGGTGACACGTACTAACAGATCAGACCGAAGAATCCTCTCCCGGTGTTCCACCCTGAGTTTGGACGGTTCATGTTGGAGGCCACACCTGGCAAGCCATGGGGAATCGAGTTTAAGGAGTTGCTCAACGTCGAGTCGGACATGAAGTTGAGGAGGTGCATCGCCAGGGACCACATGCTCCCGAACGAGCACCCCATCACCCTGACCACGTTCCCCAGGCTCGGCAGCCCGGGCGTGTTTACCGACCCCTATTACCCCGTTTCCGGCCCCAAGCTCCGGTCGCAGTTTGTCCCTGACGAAATTGCCAACCCGCATATTCGCTTCCCCACGCTGGCAGCCAACATCCGCTCCCGCCGGGGAAGAAAGGTACAGGTCAACGTGCCCGTGTTCCGCGACGAAAAGACGCCCTGGCCGTGGAAGGACCCAACCGTCAACTACGACCTCCACAAATGGCCCGAGGATGACGACGTCCGCAACGGCGCCGCGCCCGACAATTTCATCCACATGGACGCCATGGCGTTTGGGATGGGCAGCTGCTGTCTGCAGATTACGTTCCAGGCCAAGAACATCACCGAAGGGAGACAAATGTACGACCAGCTCAGCCCGCTGGGGCCCATCATGCTCGCGCTCACGGCGGCGACGCCGATCTACAAGGGCTTCCTGGCCGACACGGACGTGAGGTGGAACCAGATCAGCAAAGCGGTCGACGACCGCACGGCCGAGGAGCTCGGCGAGAAGCCGCTGCAGCACGACCGGTGGCGGATCCCGAAGTCGCGGTACGCGTCCAACTCGACGTACATCTCGACCGACGCGCGGCTGCGGCCCGAGTATTTGGATCCGGAGCTAGTAATCGACGAGGACATCAAGCAGCAGCTTTTGGACGGCGGCATGGACGATCGACTCGCGACGCACTTTGCGCACCTGTTCATCCGGGACCCGATCGTGGTGTTCAACGAGGACCTGCAGGCGCTGGACCTGTCCAAGACCGACCACTTTGAGAACATCCAGAGCACCAACTGGCAGCACATGCGCTTCAAGCCGCCGCCGGCCGATAATAGTATCGGGTGGCGGGTCGAGTTCCGGCCGATGGAGATCCAGGTCACCGACTTTGAGAACGCCGCGTTCGCCGTGTTCATGGTGCTCATCACGCGCGTCATTCTTAGCTTTGATCTGAATTTTTATATCCCGATCGCCAGGGTGGACGAGAACATGGAGACGGCGCACGCGCGGGATGCCGTTCTGGAGAGGAGGTTTTGGTTTAGGAGGAATTTGTTTCCGGTGAGGCCGTCGCCGAGGGGGAGTAGCAATGGGGGATCGGGGTCGTCTACGCCCCGGAGCGGTGCTGGTGGGAACCCGAGTCGGCCGCCTACGCCTGCGGGACCGGTGGAGGACGAGTATAGGCGCATGAGTGTCAATGAGATTATCAACGGGACGGCGTATGCCAACGGAACTGAAGAAGGGGAGGGGGAAGAGGAGGTGGGAGATCCGGATGAGTTTCCCGGCTTGATCCCGCTCGTGGAGAGTTATCTGGACTCGATGAATATCGACGTCGCCACGCGGTGTCAGCTGGCCGAGTATCTGGATCTGATTCGGAAGCGGGCGAGCGGGGAGCTGTGGACGGCCGCGAGGTGGATTCGGCATTTTGTGAGGGGGCATGCCGGGTATGAGGGGGATAGTGCGGTCTCGGAGGAGGTGGTCAAGGATCTGGTGGGTGCTGTGGTGGGGATTGGGGAGAGGGAGAGTCTGGGTGGGTTTGGCGGGTTGGAGGGGGATGTCCCTGGGTGGAGGGAGTTTATGGGGAGGTTTCGGATGTGATTTTTTCTTTTGTGGTCGTTGAGGGTGAAGTGAGGGTGAGAGTGAGGGTAAGGGTGAGGGTGGTCTTTTAGCTTTTGTGTTTTGGGGGTGGGTAATTAGCTGGTGGTGTTGTTGTTGTTGTTGTCGTTGTTGCATTGTATTTCTTGTCTGCATTGATTTTATATCGGTTCGGTCATTGAGCGGCGGGAGGCTTTTTTTGCATGAGTATCAGGGGTATCAGGGGTGGGGGGATATGTTGCTTCCATACCTACCATTGATTTTTCTCCGTAGAAGCTATATAGGTAACCTCGTATTATGAAAGTCTCGATATACATTCCAACCATCTGAGACTTAGCAAGTCGGGTGGTAGGTACTAACCAAAACAAAGGTACCTACCCAGTTTTTACTTTCCCCTCGACACAGGGTTGGCGTCAGAAAACATTTTTTTATTAAAAGTAAGGAACGAATGTAGTCAGCGCAGGGCAGCCGAAATAGGCGCCTCGTCGAGCGTTAAGTAACTACGCTGAGGTGATATAGGTAGATCTACGCAGCGGTCCTTGAAGGGCAGTGGCGGAAGACAACGCAGAGATACCTAGTTTGAACCGGCAAAAATAGTCTGGACAGATGAAGAGGATGGGGGATGGGAGATGGGGGATGGGATAGCGAGAGGCATGATTCTCCCTTGGACATATCCAAATAAACCCCTAAGCAGATCCCATTTGAATCACTAGCTCACTAGCTGGTACTTGTATCTGGAATATGTCCACGATCTGCTTAAAAAAAAGATATCAAGCCCCCCTTGTCAACCATGCGAACCCGGGGAGAAGATTTTTCTTGGATCTTCCTCATCCCTCCTCCCTCCCTCCTTCCCTATAGGCATCGGGGCAGCCGGTCCTCAGTCCCTGGCCCCTGGTCCTGGCAGAGAGCGGGCCAGGAAAAAAGGGGGGAGGGGGACACGGGGATATGGAGACAGAGAATTAGAATTGCTTGATCGCGGCGCTCTCTCTCCATTGAGATTGGTTCCATGTGAACTTGTCGTCGTTGCCAAGCAGTGTAGTTGTAACTGTAGTTCCGCGCGGAGGGGGGGAGGCGAGTTTCGTCCTCATATCTGGACCTTGAACGTCTCTGGATGTGAGGCAGGCTGTATACTGGATCGGGCACACCGGGAGAAACGGCATGCTAGTGATCAAGGAAGTCTTGCTTGAGGAGGCTGGCTGTGATGAGGATTCTTTCGCCGGGAGAGGGGAGAGGGGGGGGGGGCAAGGGTTACGAAATCGTCGGGTGTGGTTGTCAGGTGATAGGTGATAACATTCATGTTTACATGTACCATAGGTATGTCATCACAACAGCCCTTTTTCTCCTGAGATATGACTCCCAGCTGGGGATTATTATCGTCGTATTTCACCCTATGCATTGTAGATACGAATCTCAAGTTCGCCTGCTTGGGGTTGATGTCGAGCTTATATATGCCATGACAGATCTGAAGATGGTGAGAATGGAAATGAAGAAGTTGGATATGGAGTGGATATGTGTGTGTGATCATTCTACTTCTCCCTTCCCCCCTCCCCCGGGAAAGGGATGAGAGAAAAGCGCGTCTATCTACGCCTAGGTAACCCAAAAATAAAACCAAGGCAGGACGCCTATCGTCACCGCCTCACCTGAGTAACGAGAAACATTTCACGGGAAATGGCACAAAGCTTCTCTGTCCCTAGGGAATGAGACGGTACCAGCGGAAGAACCGTCGTTGGGTGCACTTCCGCAAGGCCGGACAGGCGTATGTTGTAGACGATGACGATTCGGAGCAAATCGAGACGGAATTACAGAACAATGGTTATTTCTTGAAGGATGAAGAATCAAGCAGTGGAGAGGAAAGAAGTGTATAATATCGAGTCTGACGATGAGACCGTAGCTATGAATACAACGAACCAGTGCCGCCTGCTTCACTGAACCATGTGACGGCTAACTTATCAGACACTGCGGCGACCTTCCTCCGTGGTTCGACGGGGAAGGGGGGGGGAAGGAGGAGGAGACTCAACGGGAAACAACACACACACACGCTCATCTCCCCAAAACCACCATACTCGATGAGTGAGAACTACCAACGTGACCAAAAAAAAGATAACATCTCTCCGGCCGGGAATTGAACCCGGGTCTCGAGCGAAGTCAGACCTTCCCCTAGCAAGGCTGCTTGACAAGCTCACATACTGACCACTATACTACCAGAGATTCTTGGTTGTAATTCACCCAACAAGAAAGTGATATAAACGACGCAGCTACCCGCCTTGTTGCTTCTCATCACCAAGTGACATCGAGTCTCAACTGCCTGGGTAGGTACTGCCATTGAAGAGGATATATCCTAACGCTTCTTCTTACCTACGCAGGGCGAACTCAACCGGATAGACACGTTGAAGATCAAGATATTACATTGGCAGCGAACGTCAATAGACATTCCCTAATCTCCTAATTACACACACCCGATTGCCAACAACCCAACCCTCAACAACGCCAACAAATTATGCACCAACACAATGTATACACTCAACCTGTATCAAAACACGCCCAACACACCGTCGCTGTCTCGACGTTTCGGGGTATCATCGAAAAAAAGTACACGCCTTCTTGTGAACCGTATCCACACCGTATAAATACAAAAACACCCGTTATTAGTTCCGCAACTCGTATCCAGAGTCGCTATGCTGTAATGATCACCCGGCCTTATATCATGCCGGGCGGCGCCGAGGTGACGGCGGCTTCGGGTACCGCTGCGGGCTCGACCCTGGGCGTTCCTTGTGTGCCCGAGCTTGACCCTTGGGCCTTACTTCGGAGCGTATTACTCGACCCCAGTCCGCGTTTCATCATCTTGCCCAAGACGTTAACAAGCGCGCAGGCGTCGGCAAACATATCGTCGTCGATACCCTCGGTCGCATCGTACACCTCAGTGATAGTATCCTTGGCTAGCTTCCGGCTGCCGTCCGTGTCGTGGACGCACTCGTACAGGAAAGCAGCATATTCCGTCTTGACAGACAACCGCAGCGAGTGTGATGCCCACAACAATTCTTCTGCCAGTTGGACCGCCTCTTGGAAATATCGGTGGGCTTTGGGGAGGTAATCGCCGGGCTCCACCAAAAACGCGGCCGGCGGTTCGGACCGCTCCAGCCCAAAACCAGGTGGAGGCCCAACGGGACCGCCTTCGAGCGTTCTCGATGGCCGTGGTGGTTCATCGTCGTCGGTCGCGATGCCCTTGCCCTTGTCGACGCGTGGCGCTATACTGGGAACGCTGCTCGTCGTCTGCCCCTCGGGGGTGTTGGAGCTCACTGTCGACACCGGCGGAGTGTTGTGGAAGAGGACGTAGATGTGATAAAAGGAAGCCCGAAGTTTGTAAGCCAGCACCTTTAGCTCCACATACTCCCCGACCATAGGGAGAACGTATTGGTTGAGCAAGACGAGCCCTTCCCGCGAGAGCCAGATAATATGAAGCGTTAGCTCTATGGCTTCCGGCGTCTGCCCGGCTCCGTGCCGCCGGTGTTTCTGCGCGCTGATGAGTTGGCTCGAGAGGTTTATCGAGAGTCCGAGGATCTTAAACAGAATCTGGGCGAGGAGAGGGTTCTCGTTTTCGACGAGCTTGGCTAACCTGCCGAGAAACTTTTGATCGACTTCTGAAGACGCCATGGCGGCGGGCGTCGTTGGGAAGATGCAGAGTGCACAGTGACTGCATCAAAGAATCGAAGCTTGTTGACAGTTGAGCTTAGTCGCCAGACCTGATGACGTTGGAGCGGCCTCAGGAACGCGAGACCTATGGCAGCCGCCGCGCGGGACCACTCGCCCCGTTGTCGACCAAACAAGTGTCCCGCTGCCGAGACCTTGCCACATGGACCGAAGCCTCACGACCCGGATGGCTCTTGACTGGTCACCCTGACCGGCTGTGCCTACCGGTGCCACAGGTTCGGGGAGGCCAGCAATGAGCTTGCTGCTTTTAATTACGTTGCTCTGCACTCCCAGGGTCAGAATCGGACACGAGGGGCGGCTCCAACGATTGGAGGGGTACTGACCAATATGATACAGAGAACGCAGTGAGCCGGAAAGAGGTAATTTGTACAGGCACAAGAGCAAATCAGCGGGACCGGAGGGCGGCCGTTACCAGGAATTAGTGCCGAAAACGACTTGAGGCTCAGATACGGGGAAGGCGGCTGGTTGAGTCTTGAGATAGGGCATGGCGTAACTCTCGTGATGGTGAATGAGGCTCTTCCCAAAGATGGCGAGAACGAGGCAAGCCGTGGACGGCGCTGTCAGCCCGGGAGACGGGCCTGTGCGCTTGTTTGGAACACAGAGCGGTGAAGAAGGAGCTAGTTCTCGAACGCTTCCAAGCCGGCTAACGGGTGGTCGAGTGGAGTCTCGAGGTGCGACAACGTCAACGGCGCAAACCGGCTTCAGGCCAACCGTGGGTCAATTGAGGGCCGGAGACTATCCAAGAGACAGCGTCCGGTTTGCTGAGGAATCGGCGCGGTCGTGTGAGGCCGAGGCCACGATGTCGGACCCAAAAGTAAACAAGAATATTGCTCGACCGGGCCCGGAATGGTCAGTTGTGGGCTGGGCCGGCTCGGGGGGCCCCCTTCCAGGGCTGTATGTGTCTTAAAGGAGGGATGCAGCTCCAAGTCGCAGAATGAGGGTCTCGTGCATGAACGAGTATCGCCGGTGGGCCCCAGGACTCGAGATGCGCCGCGCAGAAAACAATTCCCAATTCCCAGCCGGACCCAAGATGACGGGATAAATCCAACGCTTGAACGAGCGACAAGACCAGACGATGTCATACGGCGACGAGGGAGCGACGGCGGGTCAGAGGCTCATCAAGAAACGAATGGCAGCCGTTGGAGGTGCAGACGGGCGACCTGCAAGGTGAGTTGTCCTCCGTCATTCAATCAACTGCGACGCATCCAGACTCGCAGCCCCACCGACGATTGGACCGACTCTCGACCACGGCGGAGAATTAAAACAGCGGCGGACAGGGAGGGCTCGAGGCTCGAAGGGCAATGAGTGAACGAGTGGACGAGAGAGAGGTGAGATCTCATCGACCTGGCCGATGGGGACGCGCCGGCGCCAGCCCTCCACGTGCACTGGAGCTGCTCCCTGTCAAGCTGTTCCTGGGCGAGCTTAGCTTCCAGGTTTCCAGTCTCAGCCGCAAGATAAGACGAAATCAAAAAGAGCGACAGGCGCGACTAGGCGCTGGGTTGGGTATCTAACTAAAAGCAAACGAAGGGCTGTCTGAATGAGCGACTGGAGTGAGCGATGTCGGGATGCGGGCAGGAGCGTTGGAGTTGGCTGGTGATGGAGAGGGCAGAGCAGTGTCATCGGTCGAGTTTCGCCCGCCTGTGCAACCGGTTGTCGGGCTGTCGGGCTGGGACGCGGTGCCGGAGTGGCTGTCGCTAGCGCAGGTGTGCGTAATGCGGACCCTGGACGCGGCAAGCGCTGCGGGACGCGCTTTGCGGGGCGTGAATCCCGTGCAAATCACCGATGCAATTGTGGCATTTTCCGCGAATTTCAACTCACTGAGTCTCCGTAAAAACAAGCTGAGTGTTCGGCGAGGCGCCCATCCGAGCGGAGGGCCGAGACATCGGAGCCAAGACTTCGAGTCCGTCACTCAGCGCTTATTGTGAAGCGACATCCACGTTGCTTCGAGTCTTTGTCGTCTGCCATTACACACTTCAGGTTACTGCAGCTTGTGTCAATGGAAGGGTTAATTCCGGGTCGTGGGACGCTTGCAACCCTTTCCCAAACCTCGACAACGGACCCGAAATTGGCCCGGAACCGGCCGCTGACAACCTTCTCGATATTATTCTCAACACCGGGAACCATTGGTGCCAGCGCACAATCAACATTGCCGACAATCATATCACCGAGGCTGACCTAGACCCGAGGGTCGCGATCGAGTGGCCTCCGGGTCTGGACGCGCTTGGCCATGGAATCTGCGACCACCCCTCCTCAATCTACGGCATACACAGCGCGATGCTGCATCTCCTTTCTGCCAGCTCAGCAACTCTGCCTCTCCTGTTTGATGTCCCCACGCGGCAGCCTACAGGACGCGGGAAGGAACTGGCGGTGAAGACATCCCCCACCATTCCCACCATGTCGGTTGCCCATCTCTCTCGATCCATAGATTTGGCACTCAGCCGATGCCGCGGGATTCAATGCCTTGGATTCTCTAGTAGTAATCCTGTGCTTTGACAACCACCTCATCAGGTTCAAGTCAGCTTATCGCCAGATGCTCAACGGCACCACCTTTTCTCCTCTGAACCGTCGCACAGCCTGGTGGTTTTCTGTCTGTCTGCCCTGCAGCCCTACGACGTGTCTCATCTCTCCCAAACACACTGCCGAGGAAGCGGTCAAGAAAAAAAGGGTTTGGATAGTCTCATCGCAAAGCGGTTTCTGACACGCTATTGTCATCCAACTGGTCAAGTGATCAGAGTCTGAGCTCGACAGTGCAACCCGGGCCTGGACACCATGCCGAAAGGAGCCCTACCGGGACCGCCTTCCGCTCGGGCTCTCCGATGCTCATTGGCCTCATCCGAAGGGGCCGCGGACCCGACCCGGAATCCGACGACGGCGCGCCGATGGTGCGTCAAAAGTGCTGAACCTGGCCATCAAAGATGAACATCCCATCGAGATTGATGGCGACACAGGTCCGATCCTGTTGGTTCTGGCCAAGTCGCCTCCTTGCCTGTGCTGCCCTCGGGTCGGTCCCCCATGTTCGTATAAAGCCGAATCCAAGATCCAGTCGCAAAGGCAAAAATTGTCCGATTGAGGTTTTTCGTGTATGCATCTCTCCCATCCATTCAATTTCTTGTTTTGCAACACCGACAGATTCAGCTTTCTCTGGGTAGTGAACCCCCCCCTTTTTGGAGCGTTGATAGTCGCGTCCTACGTCACACTGCCGCAACTGTGTGGGTGTTCGAGCTGAAGTCGTATGCTTTTCTTGCTTCGGTCCCCAAATCGGAGGACGTACTCTAGGCTGATGAGCTCAGCCTCATCCCAAACGAGCGGGTAGCGAACCACATCGTTGCGATTTCTCCCAATCAGGCAACAAAGTGCCGCCTCGGGATAGGTTGAAGCTTTCGCCGGAGCGAAACTCGCCACGCCGCCCTCCCGTTTCTTCAGCTCCGGGGAGCCGGTACGACCGGCTGTGGCTTGATAAGTGGATTATAACCTGATAACCTGATGAGATATCTGGGGTA